ATTTTTACCACTCTTTGTTGTCCTAAATAGCCAGTAATCTTTAGCTGATATCATACCCTTACCCAATCCTTTAATTTCAAAACCTTTGTATCCTCTCTTTAGTTTATATCAGTAGATATGTGCAAAAATCGCCAAAGAGGGAGGAACGACACAGTTTCAGTCACCCAAAGAGAGTACTGAAAAGGAATTGCAAAAGAAGGTATACCGGCAATGTTTAGCCACTTCAAAAAACTCGCTCTGAATGGTAATTTTTCGTGACCTCTAAGGCTCTATATCTAAAGGTGTTTTCCCTTTATAAAAAGGAGAAAAAAGAGAGAAAAAGAATGAAAAGGAAAGAAACAAAAGCCTAAAGAGCCTTAGATGGCTGAAATTATTTGAAGCAAAAAGCGATTAGTATGCATCTATTGGAGTCACGGTTACAACCCGGAAAAAATCTAAGTCTTGGGGAACTAAAAGAAGAGCCGGAGGAAGATTAAAGATTCTATGGCAAGAAGAATGTGACAGGAAAATGTGGATATCAACAACTCCATCCCCTCTTGCTGTTTTGCATAATACCCTGCTTCTCCAGAAAATCAAGGTAACCCGAAACACTTTAAACCTTACCCCTACAGAGATTTTTGACACCTAGCCCAGATTGCTTTGCTTATACTTCTTTTGATGAGAACCACTGAGATTTTTAATGAATGTTAAGAGCTAGTTGACTGGAAGTTAGATATAAGTGTATAGATTTTTGCATGACGGATCAACAGACTAGTTATGCTTGTATTTTGGTGAGAATTTTCTAGATTGTCCCGATTGACGCATACTGATTGATTTTAGTCTAGAATTATGGTCTCTGATATTTTGTTAGTTCCTGCGTTTTCAAACCTCTCATCGAGATTTGTTCTTTGTTTTGTTTGACGACAAACAAAAGTCTAAGTCTGGGGGACTTGATAACACCAGATTTGAACATTTTTTTATGGATCACTTTAATATCTTTTGCAGGTTTTATTACTCCATTTTCAAAGGTTCTCAAAGAATTTCTATGTTTTCGAATTTTAAAAGACTTTCAGGTAATTTGGGAGACAGATGTGCAAATTGGAACAAAAAGACTTTTTCGATAAATTCAGATCATCAGAACTCTCAAAAAGAGACGAAGACCTTCTCACCGTCTGATCACCCCCAAAATTGGACACTTAATAGACCAGCTTTCAAATGAATGTGGTTTAGAGACATCCTGACGGTTGGATCTCAAGATATTTCATTTGCACCGGAGACATTTGAAAACGGCCAGCAAGCTACGAGACCGCGGCCAACAAGCCATTTACCACAGCCTGGGCTGTGTGACCGCAGCCAAGCACCCATTCACCACGATCATGCATCATACGACCGCGGTCAACTATTTCGACTTAAGAAGCCCATTTTTGAAGTCCAAGTCATTTTCCAGCCTCAATTCCAAAACCCTAGATGTTCTGGATTATTGAAGACTATAAATACTTGTTATTTAGGTCGTTTTTAGATATCCCTTCCATACTTTTTACTGAGACAGCTTTTCTTAGCCGTTTTAGTGATTTGTAGAGAAGATTTCTCAACCTTGAGTTCATCAGTAGAGAAGCTTTCTTTCATCTCTTTTCTTTACTGTTTTTAATTGCTTTCATTAAAAACCAATGATGATGTTGACCTCAGCTATGTCTGAGTAGATCCTGAGTTGGGCATAGGGTTCCCGAAATAGGCTCTCATAATCGAATAAGACATCTAGGTTTTTAGATTTGGGATTTTATTATATGTTCTTCGTTTATTCTTGTTCTTAATGCTTTTATGCTACGTTGATCACCTCGTGTCTGATCTAGATAGTTATTGTTGCGAAAGTTTTCATTAAGTATCCAACCTAGAATGAAACGGGTGATTCTACCAAAGGAGTGGAAAATTACCTATGGGTGAGTCTTGAGTATTGACGAGTCCTATACAAGCTCCTGCGTTTTCTCCCTTCCAGGACCAGAGTGGAAAGTCAGTTGGCTCTGATCACGACAGTGACGTAGTCATACCACCGTTTTCTAGCTCTAGAACCCTAGATATTTTGATATCCAATAATCCCAATCTATAGCCCTAGTTGTTAAAATCGATTATGATCCTCATATAGTTTCCGAAATTCCAGCGTTTTTAGTTATTGTTCACGATCCCCATCGATTATTTACCTGCTTACTTAGGTCTTCATTTTTGCTTGCTTTCATTCGATATTCTACTTGCTTTTTAGGATAGATTTATTTGCTTTCTTTCGTTGTAGTTTGAACTGTGACACACACCAACCTCCTAAAACCCGATTTAGTCTAGACATAAACTTAGTAACCGTAGAAAAGTACTCGACACACAAATCCATGTGGATTTAATCCCTAAGTATTAATATTGATTAGTGTGCACTTGCGGCTTTAATTTGTTTCTTTTGGGGTAAAACTTGTTCCCTCACACCGCACACATCACTAAACTATGCACATATTAGGGATACATACTTGCTACAACCCTAAAAAGAAAAAAATTACATTTCAACATGTCTCACTGTTCCCCAAACTCATTTGCCTTTCAAATCGCTCTAAACATATCTTTTCCCTAAGGCATATGTTGGAATTTTTATTACATCATGGATTCACTATATTCAAACTCCAACTGAGTGATATAGTGGCTGGCCAATAAACACATATGTCAATATAATAACAAATAGTTTTTCCTTCCTTTCTCATGTCTATCGGTTCCGAACTAACTGCTTTCCTAACATGTCTCATAAGGCTAATTATTCCATCACCGTCAAAGAACATACTAAAGTAGCAAACATTAGTTCATCCCTTAAAAAACATAGCGAAAGGTTCAAGGTTAACCTTGAAACCATAAGTAGGTTTGTAGGAACTCATATTGCAAGAGATAGGGATCATAATTAAATAAGGCTTAGGCCTTCATCTTTTGCGATTGGGGTTTCAATGTGATTATAATCAAGCATTTTAAATCTTTCAAGGATTGTTCGAATGTAAGACTCTTGTGAAAGAGCTAGTAATTTCCTTGATCAGTCTCGATGTATCTTAACACCAAGTATAAAATCAGCTTCTCCCATATCCTTCATCTTAAAATGAGATGATGACCATTGCTTAACGGTTAATAGAAACTCCATATCATTTCTAGCCAATAAGATATCGTCAACATATAGAGATAGTTATATAAAGGATTGTCCAATGCTCTTGACATAGATACAATGGTCTTCACTAATCATCGTGAACTCATAAGATTTTATAGCTTGATGAAAACAAAGATACCATTGCCTAGAAGAATGCTTTAGGCCATATATCGAACGTTAGAGCTTACAAACTTTGTGCTCTTGGCCTTTTACAACAATACCAGGATGTTATTGAATGTAAATTTCTCATTCTAGTTCCCCATTAAGAAACACTGTATTAACATCCATCTGAAGTAATTCTAAATCCAATCCGGCAACTATGGCTAGAATAAGGCGAATTGAGGCACATCTCACCACAAGTGAAAAAGTTTCCTCATAGTCTATACCTTCTTGTTGGGTGTATCCTTTCGCTACCAAGCGAGCCTTGTACCTATCTATGGATCCATCTACCTATATTTGATCTTAAAAACCCATTTGTTTCCTATCTCTCGACGTTTTGGCGGAAGATCTACCAAGTCCCAAATATGGTTAAGTTTCATAGTTTTTAATTCTTCTCATACTGTACCATCCCATTCAGCTGAGCTTGGGAAAGAGAGAGACTCTTGAACTGATCTAGGCTCTAGATTTTCATGTAGAGCAACCAAAAATTTTCCCCTTCAATCTCAAAATGGCGTCGAGGAATTTTTCCACGTTTACTTTTACGTAACTCAGACTCTTCAGATGCCCCCTAGAGGAATCACCAACCAATGTCTCTCTCCCACTAAGTTTTGATAGTTCTTAGGAAATTAGTTAAGGATTTTCTATGCTTCTGGAACTAGAATAGACGCAGGTATGATTAGCCAATGTCGTCACCCTAACCATCTAATCACTTAAACTCGACCACTAGCTTTCGTCTCTGGCCGCAAGAGAGATCATGCATTAACTAAACAGAATTCATCTCGGCTCATGCCCACTCTATAGATAGCTTTCGTCTCCTACGACGGTAACATCCATAAGATCTAGATCACACAATCTGATACATCATTGTCATTGCTCTGATTAAACCTTAGATCAGATGCTAGGTTATGAATCCAGTGTAAAGCATGGTTCATATTCAGCAAGGACTTTATAAGGGTTTAGAAGGCTTTATAAGGGTTTAGAAGGTTTATAAAGCTTTAGAAGCTTTTAGAAGGTCTTTATAAAAGCCCATTACGCAGCCCATATGTATTAGGGTTCTCTTGTATCCCTTTATAAAACACTTGTAGCCACCATTATTCTGGATCTAAGGAGAAAAACGTTTTTCTCTTCTCTATTTCAATCTACTTTCTCTTAGCTTATTTACAATTCTATTCCACAAATCTCAACATGGTATCAGAGCAATGATTTCTAAATCTTGCTCTATTCTCTCTAAATCTCGTCTTTCATCTCTGTTTCTTATTCTCTGGTTCACTCTTTCTCTTTTATTCTATTTCCCAACGGTTACTTTCTGTTCATCATGGAAAACATAAAAACGGTGGTAATTCCAGTTATGCTCAAGGGAGCTAACTATCTTCTGTGGTCCAGAACCACCAAAACTGCTCTTTGTGGTCGTGGTCTCTGGAGCCACATCTTGGAAGACAAAACACCAAAGGTTGATGACAAAGATGAGAAGAAGAGTGAAAAACTCCTTGCCGAGGAAACCAAATGGTTTCAAGAAGACCAGACGGGGCTTGGCCTCATCCAGAACTCTCTAGATCCAGCAATTCTTGAAGCTTACTCCTACTGTGAAACCGCAAAGGCTGTTTGGAAAACTCTCAGAAACGTCTATGGAAATGACACCAACCTGAGCCGCGTCTTTGAGGTGAAGAAAGCCATCAACGACCTAAGCCAGGAAGATATGGAGTTTACCAAACACTTTGGTAAATTTAGATCTCTGTGGGCTGAATTTGAGATGCTGAGGCCAGCCACAACAGATCCCATGGTGTTGAATGCTCGGCGTGAGCAAGATAAGGTCTTTGGTCTCTTGCTCACTCTGAACCCGGTGTTCAATGACCTCATCAAGCACATTCTGCGTGAGGATAAGCTTCCAAGTCTTGAGGAGGTGTGTGCTCGCATCCAGAAAGAACAAGGGTCATCCGGCCTCTTTGGTGGTAAAGGAGAGCTTCTCACAGCCAACAAGGGAACTTACAAGCCGGAGGAGAAGAAGCCATGGGTGTGTGAATACTGCAAGAAGAAGGGCCACACCAAAGACAAGTGCTGGATCCTTCATCCACATCTTAAGCCAGCCAAGTTCAAAGATTCAAGGGCCAATACTGCTTATGAACACTCGGCATTTCAAAGTCATGCCGGATCATCCACTCACCGAGAAGAGACCATCCAAGGAGACTTTGTGAGGATAGCTGACTTGGAAGCGGTCATCAAAGCCATTGCCTCCTTGAAGGAGTCTGGTATCACTTTCTTTACCTAAAAGTCCAGAAATGATATTCTTATAGACTCGGGTGCTTCACACCATATGATTAGTAACTCGCAATTGCTCAAAGACATTAAACCGGCCTTAGGAAATGTAGTTTTTGCAAATGGTGATAAAGTTCCTGTAGAAGGCATAGGAAATTGAACCTGTTTGATAAAAACTCTAAAGCATTCTTTATGCCTCAATTTACATCGAATCTATTGTCTGTTAGAAGAGCTACTAAAGATTTAAATTGCAAAGCTATCTTCGGGCCTAACGATGTATATTTTCAGGATATTGAGAATGGCAAAGTTCTTGGAAAGGGTGGAATCAAAGATGAGCTTTATGTACTTGAAGATTTATCTCCGAGCACTCTTGCATCATGCCTTCTAGTTATTGTTTGTCTACTAGTTTAAACGCTGTTTGGCACGCTAGATTAGGTCATCCCCATTCTCGTGCACTTGAATTATTATTACCTAAGGTCTGTTTTGATCATTTGAGTTGTGAGGCTTGTATTCTTGGTAAACATTGCAAGAATGTTTTTCCAAAATCAACTACAATTTATGAAAACTGTTTTGATTTAGTTCATTCGGATGTCTGGACTTCTCCTTGCATTTCTAGAGACAACAATAAATACTTTGTGACATTCATAGACGAGAAATCAAAATACACTTGGATTACATTACTTCCAGCTAAAGATGGTGTATATGATGCACTTTTCAACTTTCAAAACTATGTCACTAACCAATCTCATGCCAAGATAAAAAAAATTTAGGTCTGATAATGGAGGAGAGTATACAAGTCACCGATTCAAAGAACATTTAGCAAAACATGGCATTATGCACGAAACTAGTTGCCCATACACTCCACAGGAAAATGGAGTAGCTGAGAGGAAAAACCGACATCAAATGGAGGTGGCTCGGTCGATGATGTTCCATACTAATGTGCCCAAAAGATTTTGGGGAGATGCGGTCATGGCAGCCTGCTACCTCATCAACCGAATTCCCACAAGATTCCTACAAGACTCCTCTCCATTTGAGGTACTGAATAAATCTAAACCATCTATTGATCATCTAAGGGTTTTTGGGTGTGTTTGTTTTGTTTTTATACCAGGAGACCAGAGGAAAAAACTTGAGGCAAAGAGTACTCGATGCATCTTCTTGGGTTATTCCACAACGCAAAAGGGCTATAAATGCTTCGACCCATTTACCAATAGAACTTATGCGTCTCGGGATGTTAAGTTCTTGGAGCAGCAGAGCTATTACACAATTAAAGACTGGCAAAGCCTCAAAGACATCTCCAACTCACCCGGTGACCGGGCTACGAGTTTGCGGTTTCTTCTTGATCACCTTGGAAATGATGTTACCCTAAGGCGATCTCCAGAACCTCCCAGCTCTGATCAGACTCCGGATATCGATGCACAAACACCACTCAATCTTACAGACCCTGGTGGTGAGAAAGAACCGATAGAAGTGGATCCTGAGCCAGAAGAAGATCCAACGCCAACTCCACAACAAGAAGATGTTCATTTGGAGAATCATGAGTCAGATTCCGAAGCTGGTGATATAGTGGAACCTGACGCAGCTGTTCCTCAACTCCGTAGAAGCACAAGACTCATCAATAGAAGGGTTTACTACAACAATATAGCCATCGCTCACCCAGTTCAAGTTCCTTGTTCGACTGACCTTCTACCAGATGAACATAGGGCTTTTCTTGGGAAAGTGGAACTCTATGAGATTCCTCAGAGCTATGAAGATGCTAAAGACAAAGAAGTCTGGACTAATGCCATTCAAGATGACAAGGAGGCTATGGAGAGGAACCACACTTGGGATGAAGCTGACTTACCAAAAGGAAAGAAGCTCGTAAGCTCCAAATGGGTTTTCACTATAAAATTCAAGAGCAATGGAGATATTGAGAGGCACAAGGCTTGCTTGGTGGCCCGAGGCTTCACTCGGTCATATGGAGCTGATTACACAGATACATTTGCACCAGTGGCCAACCTCAAGACTGTAAGAGTTGTACTTTCATTAGCTACTAACTTGTCTTGGGAGTTGTGGCAGATGGATGTCAAGAATGCTTTTCTTCAAGGTGAGCTTGAAGAAGAAGTTTACATGCGACCTCCACCTGGTCTTGAAGACACTATTGCACCAGGCAAGGTCTTAAGACTTCGCAAAGCCATCTATGGCCTTAAGCAATCACCTCGGGCATGGTACCACAGGCTTAGCTTCAATCTTAGAGATCATGGCTTCAAGAAATCCGAATCAGACCACACCTTGTCCACTCTCCAAGGACCTAAAGATATTGTTGTTGTTCTCATATATGTTGATGCTCTTATAATCTCCGGAGACAACAAGGAAGGTATTGAATCGACTAAGTCCTTTCTTAAATCTGTTTTTGACATTAAAGATCTTGGAGAGTTGAAATATTTTCTTGGAATTGAGGTGTGCCGCTTTGATGATGGTCTTTTCTTCTCACAAATAAAATATATTTTGGATCTCTTGAGTGAAATAGGTTTTCTTGAAGCTAAGCCAGCCAAAACTCCACTTGAAGAAGGTTATCAGGTCAATCGAAAGGGGGAGACATTGGATGAGCTGTTCAGTGATACTCCCAAATACTGCAGGATTGTAGGTAAACTGATCTACTTGACATTGACTAGACCTGATCTCTGCTTTGCTGTGAATCAGGTGAGCCAGCATATGCAAAAGCCAACCGTACATCATTGGGGTATGGTGGAACGCATCTTGAGGTATCTCAAAGGCTCATCAAGCCAAGGCATATGGATGGGCAAGAATGACAGCACAGAGATAGTGGGATACTGCGATGCTGATTGGGGTGGAGACAGAAATGATAGGAAGTCCACAACAGGATATTGCACATTCATTGGTGGCAACTTGGTGACTTGGAAGACAAAGAAACAGAAGGTGGTGTCTTGTTCGAGTACAGAATCTGAGTACCGAGCCATGAAGAAACTTGCAAATGAGCTTACCTGGCTCAAAGCATTGCTCAAAGACTTCGACATTGAGTCTTCAAGCCCCATGACATTCCACTGTGACAATCAAGCAGCCATACACATTGCCAACAACTCGGTGTTCCATAAAAGGACCAAACACATCGAGATTGACTGTCACAAGGTCAGACAGAAGATTAAAGAAGGAGCTATTCTGCCTTGCTATACACGCAGTGAAGATCAACTGGCAGATATCTTCACCAAAGCCGCGAGCCTTAAGGTCTGTGATCACATCTACAGCAAACTTGGGCGTGGACATCTCGCATGCTTGAGCTTCCCTAACTCATGGATGCCATACTCTTTTTCCCTTAGCATAGTTTTTCCCATGTGGTTTTATATTCTAAGGTTTTTCATGAGGTGGTGCTCCATGAGTCTCCAAGCTTAGCCTTCGTATCCTACGGTTAAGCTTGAGGGGGAGTGTAAAGCATGGTTTATATTCAGCAAGGACTTTATAAGGGTTTAGAAGGTTTATAAGGGTTTAGAAGCTTTTAGAAGGTCTTTATAAAAGCCCATTACGCAGCCCATATGTATTAAGGTTCTCTTGTATCCCTTTATAAACCATTTGTAGCCACCATTATTCTGGATCTAAGGAGAAAAACGTTTTTCTCTTCTCTGTTTCAATCTACTTTCTCTTAGCTTATTTACAGTTCTATTCCGAAAATCTCAACATCCAGTATACATGCATTAAGATCAGGATGAATGAGAGAATCAACTATAAAAAATTACATCCATAATCTAAAAACCTAGATGTTTTCGATCATGAGGGCCCTTTTGATAACCCCCTTTACCCAACAAGGTAACTACTCAGACATAGTTGAGCTTAACATCATCATTGGTTTAAAATAAAAAGTCGTAAAGTAAAGAGATAAAGAATCAAGAAAAGCTTCTCTTATTGAAGACAGGGTTGACAAGAAAGCTTTCTACAAATGCATAAAAGTAAAACCTAAAACCTAAAAAAGTGTTCTCTATTCTCAAGCATGAAAATAAACAAATTGTAAAAGACCTAAAGACAATGTATTTATAGCCTCTTTTCTCCTTGGGTTGTCTAAGGTTTGCAGAATAAGTGAGAGGAATGACTTGGCTTTGAGATGGGCTTTTGAGGCTTGAAAATAGGTCCACCGCGGGTGAGGAGTGTTTCACCTTTGCAGTTATGTTCATTCGCCCTTTAGTGCATTGGGAATACCTGGAGATTTAACAGTTGGATTGTGTTCAATCCAGTTGTATTAGAAAGCTAGTTATCTCACCTATGATGTCTCCAACTTTGGGGATGATCAGACGGTGATAAGATATTCATTGGTTGCCAAAATTTTAACGGCCTGAATTTATCAAAAAATGTGTTTTTGCTCTAAAATGCACTTCCTAAGTCACAAATTTCCTTAAAAGTCTCTGAAAACTCTAATTCTTAAAACTCACTTATAAAACATTAAAAACAGAGTAAAAACACCTGCATTAGACATTAAAAACGATCCATACAGATGGTAAAATTGGGTGTTATCAACTCCTCCAAATTTAGACTTTTGTTTGTCCTCAAACGGCAGCGGAAGCTTCGACATCCGGCCTGAGGGAGGAGCCGCATAGAGAGCCACAGAGGATATATAGAATCTTGAAATGTTTTTTTTTTGTATTTTGACTATCATTTTATTTTGGAATTTAATTTTATTTTCAAATTATATTTAAATAATATTTTATTTTGTTAATTTTGGTTAATTTCAAAGTTTCAATTAATTCAGTTTATTTAAATTTTTAATTATTTTTATAAATCGCTTTAAACTCGTCCTTAATTACATCGATATTACGTTGAAATAATTACCAATGATTCTTCAACGACATTTATTTTACGATGAATTGCCGACAGATTTAAAACGTAAAAACTAATCTTATCAAAATGACCTAATAACTAAATGTAATAAAATTGATTAAAAAGGGGAAAACGACTAGACCTAAATTGCTTGAATGAAAATCGGCTGGAATAAGAAAATAACCTAATGACTAAAACTTGTATGAAAATCAGCGAAAACTTATAAAGATGAGACGCTGGATTTTCAGGGAAATTTTCTCCAGGGATGAAAGACTCAAAACATTGCTAAATAAGTACATTAAAAGATACTAGCTAAAACTTTAAGAACTCGAGTCATGAACGTATGAATAAGCCACTGTCGTTATCATAACCAACTATCTCTCGCAACCCTGACCAGTAGGTTCCACTCTGGCTCTAGAAGGGAAACGATGCAAGCTTGCTTAAGACTCGTCAACATTCACAGTTCGCCCATAGGTAGGTTTCCACTCCTATTGTTGATCTGCTCTTCTCAAACTAGATCTGGCCCCAGATGATACTTTCGCAACAACAAGGACCGAGATCAGATTGTAGTTCGTGACTCT